ATCAATATTATTAAAATGGCCATACTACTACCCAAGGCAATATACAGATTCAGTGCAACCCCTGTCAAGTTACCAATGACATTTTTCATGGAACTGGAACAGAAAATGTTAAAATTTGTGTGGAAACACAAAAGAACCCAAATAGCTAGAATAATCTTGAGAAACAAGGACAGAGTTGGGGGAATCATGCTCCCTGACTTCAGACTATACCACAAGGCTACAGTGATCAAAACAGTATAGTAGTGGCACAAAAACAGATACATAAATCAATGGAATAGGATAGAAAGTCCAGAAGTAAACCCAAGCACTTCTGGTCAATTAATCTATAACAAAAGAGGCTAGAATATATGATGGAGAAGTCTCTTCATAAATGGTTCTGGGACAACTGAACAGCTACCTGTAAAAGACTGAAATTAGAACAGTCTCTAACACCATATACAAAAAGAACTCAAAATGGGTTAAAGACCTAAATGTTAAGACTGGATACAGTAAAACTCCTAGAGGAAAGCATAGGCAGAAAACTCTTTGACATAAATCACAGCAATATTTTTTTCAAACCAGCTCCTAGAGTAATGCAAATAAAAGCAAAAATAAACAAATGAGACCTAATTAAACTTAAAAGCTTTTGCACAGCTAAGGATATCATCAACAAAAGGAAAAGTCAACCTACAGAATGGGAGAAAATATTTACAAATGAAAAAAGATTACAAGCTAATAGTCCTGATGAACATAGGTGCAAACATCCTCACCAAAACTTAGCAAACTGAATTTAAAAATGTACCAAAAGGATCATATATCAAGATCAGTGAGATTTATTCCAGAGATACAAGGGTGGTTTAACATCTACAAATCAAATCAGTCAGTGTGATATGCCACATTAACAAAACAAAAGATAAAATTAAATGATCATCTCAGTAGATGCAAGAAAAGCATTTGACAAAATTCAACTCCATTTATGATGAAAATTCTTAACAAAGTGGGTACAGAGGGAACATACCTCATCATCATAAAGGCCATTTATGAAAATCCCACAGGTAGCATCATAGTCAATGGTGAAAAACTAAAAGCTTGTCCTCTAAGATCAGAAGCAAGCTAAGGATATTCACTCTCAGTAATTTTATTCAACATAGCATTGGAAGTCCTGGCCCCAGCCATTTAGGCAAGAAAAACTTAAAAATGCATCCAGAGTAGAAAGGAAGATGTAAAACTGTCACTATTTGCAGATGACATGATACTATATATAGATAACCCCAAAGGCTCTACCAGAAAACACTGTTTGAACTCATAAGTGAATTCAGTAAAATTCCAGGATACAAAATTAATATACAAATATTTGTTGCATTTCTGTACACTAATAATGAACTATCAGAGAAATGAAGAAAATAATTTATTTACAATTGCATCAAAAAGAATAAAATATCTAGGTTTAATTTTAACCAAGGTTAAAGATCTTTTCCCTGAAAACTATAAGATATTGAGGGAAGAAATTGAAGACCACACAAAAAAATGGAAAGATACTTCAAGTTCATGTATTGGAGAATCAATATCATTAAAATGTTCAGACTACCAAAAGTCATCTGTAGATTCAGTGCAATCCCTATCAAAATATCAATGGCATCTTTGACTGAACTGAAACAATCTTAAAATTTGTATGGATCCAGAAAAGACTCAAATAGCTGAAGCAATCTTTGAAAGAAGAACCAAGCTAGAGATATCAAACTCCCATACTTGAAACTATACTACAGAGCTTTAGTAATCAAAACAGTATTGTACTAGCACAAAAATCGACAGATAGATTAATAGAACAGAATAGGAAATTCAGAGATAAATCCAAGCTCATATGTTCAATTAATCTTACAAAAGGAGACATGAATATACAATGGAGAAGAGAGTCTCTTCAATAAATGGTGCTGGGAGTGGGGGGGGGATTATAGTTCAAGTGGTAGAGTAGATGCTTAGCATGAACAAGGTCCTGGGTTCAGTCCCCAGTACCTCATCTTTAAACAAACAAACAAACCTAATTACCTCCCCCTTTAAAAAATAAATAAATAAAATTTTAAAAAGAGCCATCAGAAAAATGGTGTTGGGAAAACTGGAGAACTATATGCAAAAGAAACTGGACCACTTTCTTACACCATATACAGAAATAAACTCAAAATGGATTAAAGGCTTTAAAAGATCTGAAACTTTAGAATTTCTAGAAGAAAACATAGGCTGTCCTATGCTCTTTGACATTAGTCTTAGCAAAATTTTTTGGATCTGTTTCCTTCAGCAAGGGCAACAAATTAAAATCAAACAAATGGGACTATATCAAACTAAAAAGCTTTTGCACAGCAGGGGAAACCACCAACAAAATGGAAAGGCAACTTACTAATTGGGAGAAGATATCTATTTGCATAGATATATCCCATAGGATTGATATCTAAAATAATATAAATAACTCATAATTCAGTATCCAAAAAGTCTCTATTAAAATGAACAGACGTTTTTCCAGAGAAGACACATAGATGGTCAACAGGCCCGTGATAAGATCCTCAACATCACTAACCATCAAGGGAATGCAAATCAAAACTACAGTGAGATACCACATCCCACCTGTCAGAAAGGCTATTACCATAAAGCAAGAAACAACAAGTGTTGGTGAGGATGTGGGGAAAAGGGAACTGTCATGCAGTGTTGGTGGGAATGTAAATTGATACAACCATTATGGAAAATATTAGAAAATCAAAAAATTAAAAGTACAACTACCATATGATCCAGCATTTCCACTTCTGGGTATTTATCTGAAAAACAGAAAATCACTCATACAAAAATATGTATGTACCCCTATATTCATTGCAGCACTGTTTACAATAGCTAAGATATGGAAGCAACGTTAAGTTTCCATTGGTAGATAAATGGATAAATAAGATGTGTTTTACACACACACACACACACACACACACACACACACACACAG